TTCTAGGTTCTGTGTCCTGTTGTCTTGTTACATCTGTATTTATACCAGTTTATTCCAATCCTATCAATCTCTATTCCAAAGGTAGGGCGTTTCTTATCTCCATTCCATGGAGTAAAGATTATTCAGCTTAAGCATGATTGTTCGTAGTTAAAGAGATTAATTACCCGCCTGGCACTTAGTTAAGAGGTTTTATTTCCTCCCTAACTTCAGGGGAAAATCCCTACCTGGGGAAACAACCTTTCTCGGCGAGGTGACCTTGGTTAAAACACATAGTGCCAAGAAGGTGAGCAAACATATTAAGAACAGTATGCCATATATGCCAGGTCCCTTGAAACAGCAAGGATGGACCGGCTCCTGGCAGAGGGACACTTTCTTCTCCCACTTAGCAAAACACATAAATAAACAAACATCCCTCAGGTTAATGTCGCTGTCCCGGGAGGGGCAGGAAGACCTTGGCAGTCACTGATCGTCTCCCTGCCCCTTACCTGGCGGTAGTTGGAGGTGAAGGCGCCCAGGTAGGCCACGACCCCCGAGGAGATGAGGATGTCGCCCGTCAGGTTGATGTACAGCAGCCCCAGCTCCAGGGCCGATTGGCTCCAGCGGGTTTTCTCGCCCCCGAGGCCGCCAATCAGCTGCTCGGCGCGTTCCAGCTTCTTGCTGCACAAGTCAACCTCAAAGGCAAGAGTGAATTATGTCAGCAGCCACAGTAGAATGAGTTATAAAATCCTGCAAGATTTTACCCTCATTGAGAAATTATTACTTTTTCATTACAGATTTCCCACTGGAATTTTTAACTCTCTAAAGCAGTGGTTCTCAACCTTCTGGCCCTTTAAATACAGTTCCTCATGTTGTAACCCAACCATAAAATTATTTTCGTTGCTACTTCATAACTGTAATGTTGCTACTGTTGTGAATTGTAATGTAAATATCGGATATGCAGGATGGTCTTAGGTGACCCCTGTGAAAGGGTCGTTCGACCGCCAAAGGCAGGGATCCTCAAACTTTTTAAACAGGGGGCCAGTTCACTGCCCCTCAGACCGTTGGAGGGCCAGACTATAGTTTAAAAAAAAAAACTATGAACAAATTCCTATGCACACTGCACATATCTTATTTTGAAGTGAAAAAACAAAACGAGAACAAATACAATATTTGTATTTGCATGTGGCTCATGGGCCGTAGTTTGAAGACCCCTGGCCAAAGGGGTCACGACCCACAGGTTGAGAACCGCTGCTCTAAAGGAAACATGTGAGCTATCTCATTGTGAACACTGGGAAGTTCAGAACCTTTGAATAGTTTTTTTTTTTTTTTGAATAGTTTAATTTAAGGAAATGACCTATAGTATGAGACACTAAGAGGTAAGTAATGAAGAACATTCTCTTACAAATGTTCCCCCTTCATTTCAATCATCTAAATGCATTTTATTTTAGTATTCTCTGAACATTTCCCACTCATTTAACTTATGGTTGATTTTATAAGTTTAAGGGTTAAATGCTTAAAAGTTTTAATAACTTATGCTTACTTACAAAGCATGATTTTCAAGTTGTTAAATGTATCAACCTACTCAGACACCTGCAAATATCCTTACCTGGGGGCGTCGATCACCAGCTGAGAGCCTGCTCTGTGCAAAGGACTGGTAACCACATTTGATTACACATAATTCAGCCATGTGATTAGCAAATAAAAAGGGCAGTTATGAAGGTAGCAAACTTGGGAGGAAACCAATTCAAACCATGCAATATCAATATTCCAATAGAATACCTAAATTACTTTTATTTATTTTAGCCCTAGCCAGTTTGGCTCAGCGGATAAAGCATTGGCCTGTGGACTGAAGGGTCCTGGGTTTGATTCCAGCAAAGGCACATCCCCCAGGTTGAGGGCTTGATCCCCAGTAGGGGGGTCTGCAGGAGGCAGCCAATTAATGATTCTCTGTCATCATTGGTGTTTCTATCTCTCTCTCCCTCTCCCTTCCTCTCTGAAAACAATAAAAATACATTTTTAAAAATAAAAAAATAAAGTGATTTAGCATCATTATTTTGGGGAGAAGACAAAATTAAGTAAAGTTTACCTCAAGGTTTAAAATTAAATAATTCACATGAAAAGAGGAAGTAAATAGCCAGTCCGGTGTGGTTCAATGGTTTTATAATCAGGAAGATATGGTTCAACTAGAGTCCCAGTACACGAAATTCGTGCACTCAGGGGGTCCCTCAGCCCAGCCTGCACCCTCTTGCAGTTCAGGAGCCCTTGGGGGATGTCCAACTGATAGCTTAGGAGCGGGCCTAAGCTGTCAGCCAGACATCCTTAGCACTGCACTCGCCAGTCGTGAGCCCTACTCAGGGCTTCTGGCTGAGGGGTGTTCCCCCTGTGGGAGCTCACTGATCACCAAGGGGAAGCTCCTGTAGTGAGCATCTGCCCCCTGGTGGTCAGTGCACATCATAGAGACCAGTTGTTCTGCCATTCGGTCGATTTGCATATTCACTTTTTATTATATAGGATAATTGCTTTTAGATTAAAAGATACAAAATACTGTATCAATTTATTTAAAGATAGGTTTAAAAAAGCAAAAGGTATCTAATTGGTAATACTTTTTATACTTGCTAAATTTAAACCTTTTTTTTTTTAATTTTCCCTTTTCTAATAGTTTCTGCCTTTCTTCATCCATTATTCTCTCAATGATCTTGAAGTGGTAATCAGGCCTTGGACTATAATAAAGTTGTCAGAGAAACAAGTAAGTAAAAAATATTTTAGCTAAAATTTCTCCTCCAAGAGCAGATTTTTAGTAGACATGTGCATATATTCATTTTACAGCACCATAAGTTTTAACATTTTACTTTGAAAAATAAAAATGTCAAACATACAGCAGAGTTGAAACATACTTAGAGTGAGCAACAACATACTGTCAGTTATATTATTTAAACTAAAACTGATGCTCATTAGTAGGTCGCATTTCTAAATATCAGCCACATATTTGCACAAATATAGAATATGTGCACATATCCTACAGGAGGGAGCAGTCTGGTACCATGGGACCGAGCATAGCTACGAGGGTCAGATTGTCTGGGTTCCGATCTTAGCCTTAAAGCTTAGAATCTGGGTTAACCATGGACAAAGTGCTCAATTTTTCTGTGCTCTAGTTTCTACAAAAAGGTACAAAGAGATTACCTCCCTCATTTATTGAGGGAATACATGAGACAGTACATACAACAGTGCCTTACATATAAGAAGCACCCAACACAGTTTGACTGGCACAAAGTATTTTGACTTCTTTTCTGGAACATGCTCAGACTTTAGCAGTTAGTTTTTGCAAACAGTATCGCTATATGAGCTAGAGCAGCGGTCGCCAACCTTTCCGACCTCGCGGACCACCGGTTGGCAATCGCCGAGTTAGAGCAATGCTTTTAGATTAAAGACATTTTCAGTGGCCACCGCTTGGTGCTGAGTGTTGAGTTCTAATGTCAGCTTTGCCATGAACTCTTACACAATCTAAGGCAATGAACATTTTGGCTCTCCATTTCCTCACCTCTATGTAAAATGAAGACTAATTTAAATAATCTAGCTCGATATTTTAATAATACAAGGCAGGGATGATAGTGGCAACTTTTTTTCTTTTGGAGAAGGAAAGGGCCAAGGGAAGGTACATATTTTGGGCTCTGGGGCCCAAGAGGTAAAATCGAGGATACCGTGTAGGTGCTTATATAACCATCTAATATGTAATCATTTAACAATGATTACTAGCGTGTGGACCATAAAAATGGGCGATGATGAATTTGGCCCGGGGCCCACAGGTCACCAACTCCTGACGAAGAGAAGAGGATTGCTGTGGGATGTGCTAACATGAACATGGGTTTCACTTACAATAGTGGACAGTTTGCCCGCATTTGCCTGCACCATCCGTACCTGGTTCTCCAGATCAGCCTTCTTCTCTTTGTTCTGCTCCAGCTTGTCCTGCAGCTTGGCCAGCTTGTCCTGCACCTCGTGCAGGGCGGCCTGCTTCTTCCGGAGGCCGTCCATGGCCACTTTGAGCTCCGCTTCCGCTGCAGCCAGCTTGATCTTTTTGGGAGCGACTATTTTTGCCACTCTGCAAGAAAGTGAAATTGGAAAATGAAATATACACTTAATACTCCAGGGCACTACCACTGAATTTGCTTGCCTAATATCCTTCCTCTAACTCAAAACCCATCTTCATATACAACCTGGACCAGTGATGGCGAACCTTTTGAGCTCGGCGTGCCAGCGTTTTGAAAAACCCTAACTTAACTCTGGTGCCGTGTCACATACAGAAATTTTTTGATCTTTGCAACCACAGTGAAACAAAGACTTATATTTTTGATATTTATTTTATATATTTAAATGCCATTTAACAAAGAAAAATCAACCAAAAAATTGAATTTGCGTGTCACCTCTGACACGCGTGTCATAGGTTCGCCATCACTGGGCTAACTGATCTCCTTACTGTCTGTTTCACCCAAGAATCAGTCAAGCCTGTTCCCAGAACATCAGACGTGACGATTAATACCCAATAGGCATAACGCTTCAAACAAGTAATTGTTTTTTACCCAAAACAATAATATTTGGTTGTTGCCAGTGTGGGGGTATTTTTTTTTTTTTGGTGATTTTGCAAAAGGAGAATAGCACATTCATGTAAAATATTACAGAGTTTGGGGAAAGTAGCTAAATTCCGATGAGGAGAAAGTGCAGTATTCTATCTGTGTCATTTTACTTCTTTTTAAAATTTCAGAATATACCCTTAGGGAAAACCCAATTTTCTTATAAACATGTATGTTGGTAATAAAAGGGACAATATAGGAAAAAAGAATGGATCTAAATTATTTTCTTTATCTGGAAATGGAGTCAGTCATGCTATCTTTCTAAACAAATGATAAAACATTACATTAAAATTTATCATTGAACATAATATATGTACAATGATTCTAATTGTGTGCATTTGAAAGATCCTGTAAAAGTTGCTTTTTGAAGAAATAACCAATGGTTTTTACTCTGTACATGCTATGCACAGTCTCACACAGTCATCAGAAAGGCTCCTTGTCTCATAAAGAACGTGCATATGTTACACCGGTGGTTGCCCTGAGGTCCGCCCTTGTCCACTGGAGCATCTGTGTAAGGAATCTCTTCACATGCTTCAGTCAAAACAATACACGCAGCAGACTGAAGAAGCAGATCCGAGAGTCCAGCCATCTCCTACTAGAGCACATACTGAAGAGATTTGCTGGAATGTAAAACACCAGCGTTCTTCTCATAATTTTTTTTTTTGAAAATGTGGATTTAAAAAAAATAATTTGTGTTAACATGTAATGTTCTCTTTTTTTTTTTTTTAGGGAAATACGCATGTAATGTTTTCATTGCTCTTTTAAAAAATGAGCTCTTGCCCTAGCTGGTTTGGCTCAATGGATGGAACATCGATCTACGGACTGAAGGGTCCCAGGTTTGATTCCTGGTCAGGGCACATGCCTGGTTGCAGGCTTAATCCCCAGTAGGGGGCATGCAGGAGGCAGCAAATCAATGATTCTCTCTCATCATTGATGTTTCTCTCTCTCCCTCTTTCTTCCTCTCTGGAATCAATTAAAAAAATATTTCAAAAAATAAATATTTGAACTTAAAAAAAAAGAACTCTTAAATGTATTTAAAAGTTTCTCATTTTAATTTCTAGCTGGTAGATAATAAACAAAAGCTTTTGGGTCGCTAATAATTGTTAAGAGTATGGAGGGCTCCTGAGTGGAGAATGTTTGGGGAGCATGGCAGCACTCTATTTAATTGCTGGAAGCTCGCCTCCACCAATATGCAAGCACAGACAGGAATTAGCTGCGGTTTCTTGAGGTTCCTCGCAGCTCTGTAGCGTCTAAGTCTGATCCTGTCTAAGTGGCCACATTGGAGAAGAGCGTACAGGTCGCTGTCGGCACTCACTTGTCGTACGAATCCATGGCAATGACCCACTTGCACAGGCCCTCGGCCGCCGTGGACGCGTTTCTGATCTTTTCTGGGACAAAATCCGGATTTGGAATGTAATTTTTCCTGATGATGTTCATGTAGGCCGGAGGAATGTTATCTTTGTCATATTCATGAAGGGACTGTAGGAATCGAATGTCACCGAGGAGTCTCTTAGCTGGACCCCAGAAATCCTCTATCTTCTTCCCGGAACCCGTGGGGTCGGGTATCTTGTCGGATTTGATGCCTTTCAGGATGCAGATGGCCTCCATCACGAGCTTGACCCCAGCAGGCGGACTCTTCATGGACTTGACCACTGTAATGTCCTGGAAGTGAAACACACCAGTTATTTAAAAACAGCTTGTGTGTGGATTATTTGTCATTGGTTTTTATTCTCAAGACAAGCTGTAGGTTCTAGAATCTCATTGTTCAGGTGACTGTGACTAGAAGTATTGTCAAGAAGCATGGAGAAATCTGTGTCCCCCAGATTTTAAAAGTTAAAAACTACAAATAATGATGGGAAGATACCTATGTAAGATTACTTGACATAAAGTCTACTTCAAAAACATACCAAAGAGAGACTTGGCTGTCACAAAGTAAGAGTTCTGTAGCTTCTTAAAGACTATAAAAATGCAAATGTTAGAAAAATACAAAAATTATGAATATGAAGATCTATAATCATCGTATACAGTTAACTACTACAAACATTTTTGTTTGCATTCTTCCATATCATTTTCTGTGCATGTGTACATGCCACAAACCAGTGTCTTTTAACCAATGGGATCATGGTCTACATAACACGCATGCTGTGTTAAGAACGATTTCAATAACAATATCGGTGAACAATCTTTCATGCTGGTAAGATTGATCATCATTCTAATGGTTGCAAAACTTTCCAATGTATAGACATGAATCACAATCCTTACGCCCTATCAAAGCTGTTTTACTATTACGACTGCCCTATTGAATAAATGACTGTATGTTCTTTATTTTTAAAGCTTTTAACACATATTGACAAACTGCTCTCCAGAAAGTGTAAGGGTGCCTGTTTTACTACCTACACCCTTAGCAACATTTGTAGGCATTCTGGTAGGCAAAAGAAATCTTACTTTAATCTGTGTTTCTTTAAATACATGTGAGGTAAGATAGATTTTCATATGTTTAGTGACTATTTGTATTTCCTCTTTTGTGAATTACTTCTTTATATCATTTTACTATCTGATCTTAGAGCTACTTATCTGTAAGAGCTATTTATGTAGACATTAATCTTTTGTTTGTCAAATAATTCAAATATTTTCCCCAGTGTTTCTAAACTTCTGTCCATAGTGTTTATATCAAACAAGATGCATTGGTTTTTAGGTACTAAAATTCATAACTTTTATAAAAACTGTACTAATTGTCAAAAATACAAGATCTCCAGATTCTATATATCAAACAATATTGCTTAGTTTTATTCTGAATTTTCTCACACTCAAGAAATACTAGGTCCTAGTCCATTTAGAGTTCACAAATATGACTTACATTTTCTACTATCTTATAGTAACATAGCTATTTACATTTACATTTCCATCAGTCTGAGATATGTTTTTGAGTAAGGTATAAATACAATCTCTAACACTCTCCCACTTACCCCACCCAACAGTTTAGCCAATATTCCCTCACACTACTTATTTTTTTTAATTCATCTTTATCATTCTTAATTGAAATGTTCCCCTTCCATATCTTAATTTTTATTATTTAATGCCACATTTCATCAAATCTAAGACACCCTACTAAAAATATAAGCCAAATTATTGTACATGTCACACACACACAGTAACCACTGGCAAACGCTGACACAATACAGTCGGCCTCCCTGGCCACGGATTCCACATTCGCAGCTTCGACCAAACGAGGATTGCTGTTACTGTTTCCTAAACAATACAGTATGAACTACTTACGTAGACCTTACTTTGTCTTTGGTCATAAAGTAATCTAGAGATGATTCAACGTGTGCAGGAGGATGTGCGTTGGTTATATGCAGATACTGCGCTATTTTATAGCAGGAACTTGAACCTGCAGATTTGAGTATCAGAAGGGGGTCCTGGAACCAGGCCCCCCAGACACTGAGGCGCGTCCGTACTTTCTCACACCTGCTGCAGGGTGCACCCCAATGACAAACGTGCCCACTTATGAGACAGGCTCTCTGGATCAAAAACGTACACTTGGTCTTATGCCCCTGTCGATGACTGTGGCTGTTCTGCAAAGTTCTTAAGGTGACAGGTGTCCTATGGCAGGTGTGACATTGGGGAGGTTTCTGCTTTTTCAAGATCGTCTTAGGCATGCCTGTGCATTTCTTGTTCTTCAGGTCATTAGGGAACCCTTGGCCGCCTTGACAGCGACTTGGACGGCATGAACAGTGGGGACAGGTTGCAGCACACAACGCGAAGGCCTCCCTGAGCTGTGAGGACACCTCCCGCCGGCGCGGCCCCTTACCTGCGCGGTCAGGGTGTCCAGGGCCGCAAGCGCCGACTCGAGGATGGGCAAGGCCCCCGCCAGGTCGGCGTCACATTCGTCCTTGATGGCCTTGGCTGCCATGGTCTGCTCGTTTGCCACGATCTCATCAGCTTTCACGATTTTTTCCGTTTTGGCCACTTCGAACGATTCCCTCTCGATCATCAGCATCATTTCGTCCACCGCTTTGCTGGCAACCTTTAGTTGAGGGTGGAGCGCCTCCAGCTCCAGCTGCATGGAGGCGACTTGAGATGCCGCGGAATCCAGTTTCTCCAGACCCACCTCATACCTCTTCTTCATCTTCATCACTTCACTGAAAGCAAACACACACCACACTTAGTCGTCAGGCTTCGGGCCCCTCCTAAAGGAAGGAGATTCAGTGTTCTGGGCTCTCGGGGCTTGTTCAAAGCATGGCTAGAGGAGTGACCGGGAAAATTTCCACCAAAGCCAAACCTATAAAACACGGAGAGTCTAAGGGTGGTTACCAGGGGACTGGGTGTGGGTGAGAAGGGGGATGGTGTTTAAAGGTACAAAATTATAAGGAATAGTCAAAATCCTTAGAGCTCTAATGCAAAGCTAAATGAATATCGCTAATGACATGGTATGATAATTATGTAATGTGATAAATAGTGGTCCAACGGCAGTCATATTACAATAGTAAATGTATCAGAGTAACCAGTTTAAACTTATACAAGGTTACATGTCAGATTTCTCCAATAAAAAAGTGATCGTAATATAAAGTGCGTAATTGAGCAGTAGTTAGCTATGTTAGGCAATGCGTCTGTACAAAAGAGTAAGACCCCCTCCTCACCTTAAAACATGTTTGCGGAGTAGTCACTTAATGACTTAACAAAACTCACTATACATGTAAAGCCAATCTCTATTACATCACAGCAATGCCGTTTTGGTACACACAAATAATTTAAAACTGCTGTAGCTTACTTAAAAATATGAAAATTCACTTTTACCTTCTTTTATTTTCCAACAGCAGTTTGAAGGTGGAGATTAATTCCAGATACGAGGTTGGAGTCACATAATTGTATCTTTGAAGCTCGACGTGGAAGGACGTGGATAAGTCGATAGTGGACGTGTGGAAGCTTTTACACATGTCGATGCAGCCGTCCCGTATCTCCTCTGACATCTCAATTTCTTCCAAAAAGCGTGAGGCCACTGCCTGGAGGGCGTCCTCAGGCCACGACTAAATGAAATGGAAATGCTTCAGCGCTGGGTCCAAGGTACTCTCTGGGCCTGTGATGCTGTGATCCTTTAGAACTCAGGGGGGGTAGGGGTGGAGGGGGGAGGATGAGGGTGGGGATGCGTGGGGGAGATGTGTTCGTGAGGACTCCCCCAGGTCTCGCATGCTCAGGGCAGGGAGCGAGCAGGAGTGCCTGGAACACTAGCTCTATGGCTTGTTCGGGGCTCAGAGGAATTGCTCCTAACACCGCAGGAGCGAGGAAGAGGAAAGGAGCGAAACTCACGGGATGTCTCTTTCGTGCCGTTCTGCTGGAATTGCCTCATTTAATCCTCCCAGTAGCTCTCTGAGGTAACTAAACCCCAGAATCATATGGACAGCAACCTCCTTCATTTCTCTTATAGTTAGCTCACACTCAACAGGTCCATGGCATGGTTCCTGTCTTCCCCAGAACAGTTGCCATCTTCTCCAATTTAGTAAACATCACCCCATCCGCCCAGTGACTCAAGCCAAAATGCAGGAGCCCTCCTTGAGGGTGGAAAAAGAGAGGTAGGGGTATTTCTACCTCTATTCCTCGCCAGCAGGAGCTGAGCTCTAGGCTTTGGGTTCCTGCACCTGTCAGGCAGTCCTGCTTCCACAGCTCCAAACTCCAGTCACACTCTTCCCTCCCTTTTATATCCAGCTGTAGTACCCGCTTCCTGCGCTGGCCCACCACTGCTGGTCACTCTACCATCCCTCTTATTTCCTTCCACCCTGCCGACACCTCCATGGAGAGTCTTTTCATTCAACTTTCCCCAGTGATGCCTTCCTATGTGCCCTGTCTTTCCCTGACAGGACACTGACCGATACACAAATTTATCCTAAGACTTTCTAAGGTATATTGAGGTTAATGACTGCATACACTAGCAATAAAATGATTTTCTATTATGATGATTTCTTGAGTTATCTATAATAATAAAAACATAATATGCTAATTAGACTGGACAGCCGAACAACCTTCTGGATGGCATTCTGGGCGTCCTTCCAGACGAAGCTGCCATGGTGGGGGCCGAGGCAGAGGTGGTTAGGGGCGATCAGGCAGGCAGGCAGAGTGGTTAAGGTAGATCAGGCAGGCAGAGGCAGTTAGGGGTGATCAGGCAGGCAGGCATGCAGTTAGGGGCGATTAGGCAGACAGGTAGAGAGGTTAGGGGCGATCAGGCAGGCAAGCAGAGGCAGTTAGGGGCAATCAGGCAGGCAGGCAGAGTGGTTAGGAGTCATCAGGCAGGCAGGCAGGCGAGCAGTTAGGAGCTAGCAGTCCCAGATTGTGAGAGGGATGTCCGACTGCCAGTTTAGGCCCAATCCTGCAGGAATTTTGTGCACTGGGCCTCTAGTAATTTCATAAAATCAGATAGTATTATTGATCACAAAATTCTGTTAAAACTACATTTCCCGGGGGGCGGGGGGAGTCTACAATAAAAATCATGATGGAGAATCAACATCTCTAGAAATCTATCAAAAATGTGCATGGCAATACCTGAAACCAGTCAATGGTACAGCAGTTAACAAGAGCCGGGAACTTTCTCAGACGAATCCGAAAGGCATCCCCAATGGGGCTCATGGCCAGGACGACGTGCAGCTGGCTGCGGCAGCGATCGATGAACATGTTGAACAGAGCGATGGGGCTCCCGTCGGTCTGTTTGGTTTTATCCCGTTGGCGGTCGAGCTGGCGCATCTTCTCGCATATCTCTTGCTTCTCGTCTAATGCAAAGAGATTCGGCACTTCCCCCGCATTGAGCAGATTGTTGACATCTTCTAGAAACGACTCCCTTTTAATCTGAGTGTCTGTAAACAGGAAGACCCCATGCATCTCGCCCTCAGCGCATTTCCTCAGGATCACCTTTAGATCCTCGTGCCACTCGGTGTTACCGTAGCCCTTCGTGATTTCGACCTGGAAGACGGAATAATCAGCCATGTGGGCAGCTAACCTGGTGACAGACTGCCTCCCGCTGCCTCCCACGCCGACCAGAAGGGCATGGCTGCGGGGCTGCTTCAGGATCCTGGAGATGCGGCTGATGTGCTCGATGGCAAAGCGGAACAAGACAAGGCTCATGGTCTTCTTGCTCATGTTGTTGTATTCCTCCAGGTGCGTTTCCACGATCATCCGGAGGCTGTCCACATTTTCAACCTCTCTGTAGTTGGTGTCCTCCTTCTTGGGGTCATGGAAATCACAAAACATGAGGCTGCGTAAGTCATCTTCCTCCACTACTCCATCCCCGTTGAAATCCAGATGTTGAAAAAGCTCATGAAAATTTTCATACATATGATGTGTCAAAATTTCTTGAATATACTCGATAAGCCAACGTCGGTCTGCATTATCCAGGAGGCGATCATAATACACCCTAAGGACCTGGAAAATCATTAAAAACCAGCTTTAGGAATGGAGTCTTCTATTGTTTATTATTATTATTATTATTATTTCTGTGCTAATCTCAAGTAATATAAAAAGTACTCTCAGGAAATTTGAATCTGATTTATTAAAAGCATATCTAAACAATTAGACTAACTCATGATCATGTTTATTTTAAATATTTGTTTGATCATACATATATGAGATACTACACAGTTGCATGCAGTTTTCAATAAGTAAAGGTAATTGGGGGAGACTGAAGCAGATGGTAGAGAGGCTGTGAAGTCTAGGGCAAGAGTGTGAAGGACTAGAGAAGAAAAACTACTAGAAGCGACTGCCTCTGCTGGTCACTCAGATGAGATAGAGCTGGACACTAGCACTGAGGCTTTTCCAACTTCTGTACCATGGCCTTCCGTTCTCCAAGCTAGATAGCAGTTTGAAAGTTATTGGAGAATCACTAGATATTTTTTTTTTAAAGCACATATTCTAGGAAAAGAGAAAATGTCTTCTGTGGAAAGCAAGCTTATTTGGGACATTTTAAAACTATTTTTGTTGTAAGTCATTGCAGAAGGCAATCTACTAAAATAAGCCCTGGCTATAGGCACATGCTATGCGGCTGTAAGAAATAGTGAACCAGACTTGCTACGTGAAATAACTTTCTTCAAAGTGGTGTGCGTGTCCTTTGGCCACAGTCTGTTTTGGACTGATCTGTGTTCCCCCTAAATTCATATGTTGAAGCCCTACCCCAACATGACTGTATTTGGAGAGGATTCCTTTATAGTGGTAATTAAGGTTAAGTGAGGTCATGGGGTGGGGCCCTCATCCAATAGGACTGGTGTCCCTCTAAGAAGGGGAGAGACAGCAGGACTCTCTCCCCACAGGCACACAGAGAAAGGCTCTGTGAGGACCCAGTGAGAAGGCAGCTATCTGCAAGTCAAAAGGAAACCCTTCACCAGAACCTTGATCTTGGACTTCTAGCCTCCAGGGCTATGAGAAAATCAACTTGTTGTTTAAGACACTCAGTCAGTGGTATTTTGTTATAGCAGCACTAGCAGACAAATACATAGACGATATAAGCAATGTAGATTCTTGTCAGCAAAATGCCTGACATCTGGGGGAAATCACTTCGGCCTGTCTACACCAGCTTCTTCATCTCTATAATGGGAGTAGTAATACCTGCCTTGTCAGTCTCATAGTGCATGGCAAAAATAAAATGACAACAGGTGTAAAAGCCATAAACTTGAGAATTAAAACTACTATAGACTGTCCTGCAGTCAACTTAATGTGTTCAAGAATAATGAGTTCAGCCTTTTCACTATTGACAAGTGGATGACAATAGTGCAAATGATATGATTGCAGCATCCTCGTACTCCAAGTTCAACAGCTACTTTTCTGTGAAACAACATAGTTTCCCAACACATGCCAACAGTCACTCCTTGGATGGAGGTACCGAAGACCTCGTGCAATAGCCCCAGGGGAAGAGGAAGCTGAGTTAAACCCACCTCACTCATCAGATGCCAGCGCCTAAGCATGACTCAAGCATATCATTATCTAGATGAAACTTAGTAAGATCCTAATGCAGTGTTTCCCAAAGATTGTCAAACACCCTCAGGCACTGGGGAAAGCAGTGAATAAATAAAGCTGCTGCTCTCAGAAAACTTCTATTCCAGCAGAGACCATCAGTAAGCAAACATAGAGATGGCATCAGGTGACATTCAGTTATGAAGAACAAAGCAAGATAATAAGGAGTTATAGAGGGGGGGAGGGATGGTCCAAGGTGAGCCTCCCCGGTCAGTGGATATCTGAGGAGGTCAGTGGGGAAGCCTTGTGGAGAATGGGGCTCAGAATGTTCTAGGAAGAAGGACTATCAAGAGCCAAGTTCTTGAGGGGGAGAGGGCTAGATGCTTCCCAGAGTACCATGTGGCAGTGACCAAGTGCTGCCACAGGCCATGCACTCCTTCAGGGAGGTCAACGACATCCACCTCTCGTCTCGCTCCCTTCCCACCTTGCAGCATTATTTATGTTGCCCAGGTGACCTCCCAGACTTGCAGCCTGTGTCCCCGCCCCAGAGCGTGGATTCCACTCAGGTACTAAGTGGTCTGCAGTGGAGTGAAGCCAGAATCTGCTGGTCACACGTTCCCCAAGAGTCACCTACAGGGACCTTGCTGTGGCCGGAACTTCCAAGCGGAATGGACCTTCACTTGGGCATGAAGTTGAAGGTGTGAGGATTTAGGAATTCAACCTGTAGACTAGAAAGGCCACAGAAACAGAATTTTAAAAGCCCCTCTGAAATCTATGTCTCTGTAGTACATTGTTTTAATGTAGCAGTGCATCCCAGTTTTCCGAATTTTTTAACTACATCATTAAAATTAAAGTAACC